TAGAGGCAGCCATAGCTGCCATAGCTGTAGTTAGTAGTGAGTGTGTGTGTGTGCTCGAGTGTTAGAGTGATGCGTGTGGGATATCCAGGGTGATCAAGTGTATGTGAACAGTGAGATGTTTGGGTGCTGAAGTCGCCATAGCCAATTGAGAGTGAACTCGTATCTGAAAGCCATATCTCTGAGTTTTGAGTGGGCGCATGTCGCCAGTATACTGCGTTGCTGTTTACATGCATGAAAAGTGTGTTTGAAAACGAGTCTGATTGCACCTCGTCTGATAAAGATGGAAGTCTGATTTAAAATCATTTAAACGACCGGGTATGGCATCACATAAAAAGGGGGGAAAAAAAGACAACTAAGGAAGGTAACTGCCCAACTGTGAAGTACCATCCAAAATAATAATAAATTAATGACATTGTTACGTTTTTATTCAGTCTTTTAGGTAAGTACTTTTTTTGTTCATTTGGGATTACGTGCATCTGTTCATAGCTTTGCCACAGATTCACAACGAGGAATCTTTTTAATCCTTGGATACTGGACCCCCGGCCCCAGACTGTATCGACCCCGATCCGGATTTCCGATGGTAGCCATGATGTATATGAACTTATGAAGTATATGAAGCTATCTCAGATTATGTGTCTGTAACTTGGTATCATCATAGCATGTGTGTCGATTCTTTTGTTCTGTTGTTGTGTGTGCTCTCCATACTGAATGGGTAGGGGCATGACAGTCATGGCTTACATGAGGCTGCGCTCTGCGCTCCGGTGATGTCGAAGTTGCGTGAAGTAGTGGGGACGGACACATTCATGAGGAACATTCAGCCTCTGCTTCTTTCTGGTCTAAGGAAGACGCCATTTGAGAGGCATCCAGCAGCTTGTGCAGCTGTTCTTGTGGAAATGGCTGAAGACTTGGGTTGGCTCATCACGCTACAGCAGGTGTGTGTTTCGTTGATCTCTTTTGGTTTACAATGGTCTACCATGGGTTCTCGCTTGTCACTACCATCTTCACCCAAATGAAACGCCCGGTAATTTTCGCTGCATCTGGACTGAAAATTGTGCTAAATATTGCAGCTATAATGACCGGGCGTTCTATTTGGGTGAAGAAGGCAGGTTTGGGATTTTAGGTCTCTTTGAGTTTCTGTAATTGCACAGTGCTACGTGAGGTTGTAGCCATGTTTTCCCGTCAACTTCGTCAAGTTATCATTTGAATTACAGGGAAGGACATGTGCTGGTAATGCTGCATATTGACGCAATTTGACGGTCTTTGTTTGGAGTATCCCTCCCAGTGCGAGGATTTTAAGCCCTCGGCATACCTGCATGTGGCCCCGACAGCAAGCATGTGCCCGGCCTAATTGAAGGCGGGCCCCCGAATCTCAATGAGGCCTGAATTTGTAAATTTTGCAAAACCTTGGTGGGTGGCAGACAGTTGCCACGCGCCAGTTGGTTACATCCGCCCTGCTCATGAAAATCAGAAACATTCGTGAGCCCTCCAGGCTCTTCTGGCGACGTAGTGGAAGCAGGGAACATCTCGCGTTTGCGCTTGGGTGGTTGGGCAGACCTAACGAATTCGGTTCCAGGCCACTGTCTGAATGGGGCCTGGGCAGAGACACTTTGGCCCAATGTGAAGCTACTGGGCACACGCGAGGCCAGGCCATGCTGCGATCGGGCCAGGCCACTTCGCATATAGCAAACTTCCTGGCCGTGAGTCGGGCATTCGGGCACTTGTTTGTGCATGCGGCGGGGCTGCGGGAGCAAGTGCTTGCGCCTGCTGCTAGTGCGAGCAATGGTGCTGGATAGCGCACGCGGGCGCTGCTTGAAAGCAGCGCCATAACCCAGCCTCCATAGCCGGGCTTAGGCTTGGAAATGCCAGTGGGGTACGGTGGTCGTGAGGGAGAAAATAAGGGTGAGCAAACAGAGGGCGAGTGGGAGGTGATGTGAGAGCACGTACCTGGTCCTGGCAGAGGTCCACATGGGCGACATCTGCATGTACGTCGGTTTCTGCTGCTGATGTCGACTGGTTGTTTTGTCATTTCGTAGGCTAGTAGGATAGCTGTGTGATCGTAGTCTGGGCGCCGAGCGCCAAGTAGGTGGAAGTGCTCTGGATACACTGTTGGTGGTGGTGAGAGAATGCTCTCATTGACAATTGAGCTCGGTGCTTTGGTTCTCCTTTGGTGTAATATCGGTGCATTTCTGCTTTCGGGACAGCTTTCGTCTATCTGGCTTTCAACGTGATTCTGCAATTTGGAGTTCTGTCATTTCGCTATTGCTCATTTTCCTTGCACCAGATAAACCTACCTGCATGCTGAAACTAGGGATCAACAATCGGCATTTTGCGCGCTATCACAAGATTGCGATACGTTAATGATAAGGACAAAGTCAAGGCAGAAGCAGCAACACACTTGCTGAGAAGGGCTTTGATATCACACAGAGTTACACGGTGTTGCACGGGACTTGAGAAGACAAACGTTCAAGAGGAGTGCACATCCATGCGATATCACGAGGTAGAGAAAGGGATACCGTTTTCACCCAAACACAACGCTCAGTCATTATTGCTGTACATAAGCTGAAAGTTGCACCAGATACAGGTATAATGACCGGGCGTTCTATTCGGGTGAAGACGGTAGGAGCTGGAGAAGTTTGGACGCCCTAGTTGGCTGTTCGCCTCTGAGGCGCGGAAGATCAGCGCCCCGTGACCGTGGTTGCGAGCAGGCCTGTCGAGCGCATCGGCTCCGTCCTAGGGGGGAGCCCTCGTGTTGGAGTTTGCCAGGGACACTCAACTTACTACCAGAGTTCTGTACTTTGCCGAGATTCCACGCAATGGCGCCCGGGAGTGCTCCCTCCGAGGAGGGAGCCGATGTGCTTGACACCGGCATGTCAAGGAAGACTGCACAGGTAGTACAATAGTATGTCATATTTGCTTTCTGGCAAGTTTCCGCTCAATTCTGGGTGTGAACGGCATTAGCGCCTTCATCGATTGACTTGATCTTTCCTGTGCTTCTTCTGTACGCTTTGTGCTCTTTGTTTGTAGACTGCGCTTCCAATAATTTGGTCGCTTGGAGAGGACCTTACAGTTTATGCTATTGATGCAGCTGCCGGGATTGGTAAGTAACTAACTTGCAGCACTACTGCTTGTAATTTGAATGCTGAACTCTAGCAACAATGTTTCCATCTGCAGCGTGAAAAGGTTGTTGCATAACAGCTGACGTCAGAGTTGAAGCTAATGGACGCATTATGTTCTACCTAAGTACAAGCGCAAGCAGAGAAATGGTTGCAGGTGAAGAAACAGCATGCGGTGTAATGTTTTGTCTTACATTGATGCAAAGGAGATAAGTATGCCCCTGTGCAAGGATGACGCACAAATCGCCAAATGGTATTTAAAAGAGAGAGAGAGAGAGAGAGAGAGAGAGAGAGAGAGAGAGAGAGAGAGAGAGAGAGACAGAGAGAGAGAGGTGAAATTCCCAATTAAGCTGCAGACACATCCACTGTTCAAGCGGTGCATTGTCTATTGCAGACACTTAGGAAGTTCTCAGTCATCCCCTGAATTATTTCCCGCCGGCCTCCAGGTGACCATGTTGTCTGTTCTTTTCCAACTGGGGAGGAGTATGTTGCTTAGGATCCCTTTCTGGAAAGAAAAAAAAAGGAAGTTATGTTGTGGTTTCGTTGAGCAGGACGATATTATCCAAAATTGCATTTGCTGGAAGAAAAAAGAAGGAAAAAATGGGAAGTTGGCCTTCCATGATGCAACGTGCTGGCTTGTGTTTTACTGTTGGCTACACTTTGCCAGAATTGGTGCACTTGCAAACCTTGTGATTCCAGTGTCGACCTGATCCACCTGTTTACTGTTTCGTTGTCGTGTCACTCCTGTGCACATAAGCAAAGCGGTTGGGAGAGCAATTCACTGTTCGACACATCTTGCCTCCTCTTCAAGCACTGCTGCTCTCAAGCATTCCTGCAACAAGCCAGAATTCCCGCCTGTCATTTGCCACAACATTGTCAGCCGCCGAAGCAACAGCCCATGCAGGCCGGAAGTCAGATGGCCGGCGGACAGATGCGCGTTCGATTGCCATCAGGGATGGACTAGTCCTCCTTCACAGACTTGCATCGCACCTTCCACCTGAACTAGTCTTGTCAGAGGTTTTGCAGGTAGGTGACAGCATCCTGTCTCACCTCGTGTACCTTCTTCACTCCCCTCCTCGATCTCACAGTCCATTTCAAATCTATCTTTATGCATCTTGCCTCAGTGTCCAATGTGAAGGGGGATAAGCAGATTTAGTGTCCCCTATATATGAGGAGAAGACGGCAGTATTTTTTTCTCGGGAAAAAAAAACGGAAAGAGTTTATCAGTGACAAAGAACAGAAAAGTTTGTCAGTGACATAGAACAGAAAAGTTTGTCATTGACATGGAACAGAAATATTAAATTTTATCAGTGGACAAAGAACAGAAAAGGTTGTCGTCAGCATAGAAAAGAAATATTACGTTTTATTTATTCAACATAAAAAAGTTTGTCAGTGACATAGAACAGAACGTCTATCAGTGACAAAGAACAGAAAAGTCCAAATGTGGCAAAGGACAAAGTGAAAAAAAAAAGAACAGTATTGGACTTGCCGCCGTTGCCGGTGGAATAGGAATCTGACTGAGGCTCCCCGGAATGGACAAGGAGCCAGAACCGTAAGGAAGTTTTTTTTATAATAAAATTATAAAAATTTAAAAAAGGCCAGAAAAGTTTATACTGTGCTCATGGTAAGGCACAGCTCACCATTGGACTTCACAGGCACAACAAAACGCATCTCCTGAATTATACGTTTCTGTGCAGTTGGTGAGGTGTTGCTGAGGGTGCAGTTTCTTTTTTTTTTTTTGGTTGGGGGGGGGGGGGGGGGGGGGGGGAGTGGAACAAAGGGGGAGAAGTCCCTAACATTATTATAACTGGCAGGATTTTAAAGTCAATGATCTGTTGATTGACAATTACATGTGGTGTGTGCCCTTCAGCTACCAAGGCAGGTACAGTGTTTAGAAATCTAGATGCATTTCAATTTTCAAGCATTCCTAAGCATATTTGCAGTGCACCACGTGCACACAAGTCGCGCACATGCGGCGCATAGCGCACGTGCACGTGATGCGGCGCATAGCGCACGTGCACGTGATGCGGCGCATCCCGGAAATAGGTGTCAGTAAAAAAAATTGGGATGGGAAGGGCAGGGTGTGACGACCAAACACGCCCCCTCCCTTCTAAAAATTCGGAGTGCAAAAGAAAAAAAATTGGGGCCACGTCAAGCCCTAAAACTGTGTATGCATGTTCTATTTGAATTCAGTTCTCTTTTCCGAAGGACCATTGCAGAAAGCTGGCAAGAGCTCATCACCAGACAGAGATGGTTGTTGAAGCATGAACAGAGCGTGGGCAGGGCGATAATATATGCTCTGGATATGATTTCAGGTCTGTGTAGCGGTTATGGGTTACTTCACTAGGCCAGATCTCTGCACGCAAATATCTTTTTTTCTGTTTTTCTTTTCTTAGGAATACGTGGAGTGGCCCTAACTCTCGGTCCAGTACTCACTACATGCACTAGTGTCGAAACATATGGTGGCGTATGGTTCCATGTTCTAGCGGAAGATTCATTCTAGTTTTGCACATTCAGTGAGAAGCCCTGAGAATCATGGGCACAGCCCAGCAGGGCCCAGCTAAGTTAGCAACCCATAACTGCATAAACATAGACCTGAATTTGAATTCACACTATATATTCTTGGCCTGTGCAAATACGGTGCCAATCCCTGCTTGGTGATAGGACACTTGCTTACTTAGTTGAGGGACCCCTCAGGTTCCTTTGAGGGGCCCTCTGATTTATGTGAAAGAGGACCTTCGCCTGCTCTCTCTCTCTCTCTCTCTCTCTCTCTCTCTCTCTCTCTCTCTCTCTCTCTCTCTCTCTCTCTCTCTCTCTCTCTCTCT